CACCACCTCAGACAATGCACTATAACCCCAACCCAGGGAGGATATCTACCCACCAGGGCCAACACCAACACCAGGGCTGGACCTTTGACACAGAGCAAACCTACACTGCTCCGTCTTATCTACGACCACACCAGAAGCAGAAACAGACACATATACAGACACGACCGCCCAAACGGCAACACGACACAGCCTTCACCACGGCACCGCTGCCCGTGCCAAGTTTCAACAGCCTCCCATCGAAACCACCACCACCAGCTCAAGCTCCGACTAAAGCCCAGGCACAGACGGGCTCGCGGCCTCGCAAGCAGCGCAAACACAACCAGCTCGGCCTGACGCCCAAGACAGAAGAGCACGAGTCGAGCGAGTCAGAGGCTGGAGACGCGGATGTGGACGAAGAGGCCAAGTTTGCGGGGCAGCTGGCCAAAGGCGAGCTGAAGTTCAGCTACCGAGGACAAACGTCTACGCTAGGCTCTACGGCAGAAGTACAGGCCTGGATCGAGGAGAGAAGACGACGGTTCCCGACGAAGCAGCGGGTAGAGGAGAAGAAGAAAGAGGAGGACGCTCGCAGGGCAGCGAAGAAGCAGAGGGACGAAGAGGCAAGGAAGCAGAGAGAGGAAGCGAGAAAGCAGCAGCGAGAAGAAGAGCAGAAGAAGAGGCAGAAGACGAAGCGGACGAAGAAAGACACGCGAGAAGTAGAAGCGGCAGAAGCAAAGAAAGACAAGGGCCAGAAGAAGGGCGATGCAAGCGATGCGGCTGCGCGGGCGAAGATGCGAGCGGACAAGCTGCGCGAGAAGCTGGCGAGACAAGAGCGAAAGCTTGCCCAGGCCGAAGCCAAACAAGCTGAAGCTGAAGCCGCAGCCAAACAGCAAGTTGGAACCGAAGTTGGCCTTCAAACTGAAGCAGCAGCTGGACCTGGGGTAGCTGGAGGAGCAAGAGAAGCAGGAGATGAAGGTCAAGCTCGGCGCAAGACAGACGGAGATGAAGCAGTTGCTACGACACTTGGTCTGCCTGTCGCAGCCGGCGCTACAGCGACGCTAACCTCGGGCCAACCCAACCGAGTTTCCGCTGCTGACGACGACGGTGACATTACCAGCAGCAGCGGGAGTGAAAGTGAAATTGATAGCGAAAGCGAAAGCGACGATAGTGGGAGCCAGAGCCAGAGCCAGAGTGAGAGTGAGGGCGAGAGTGAAGGTGCAAGTGGCAGCGAACCGGAGGAGCACAGCTCGCGCCGCCAGGCCCCGGCCAGAGTTCCTCCGCGCAGACGCTGCCACCAGTTCGCTCGGACAGGCCAGTGTCGGCACGGCAGCTCCTGCACTTTTCTACACGAGCCCAAGGACCAGGACAAGCCCAAGCCCAAGCCCAAGCCCGAGGACAGGGAGAAGAGGAAGACGGACAGGGAAAAGGAGCAGCGCAGGGGGGAAAAGCCACCGCAGGCTGGGCGACAGCGCCTGTACGAACGGGTAAGCGTATATCTGTCAACCTCAACTATATTTCTTGCTTTCTTTTCCCTTCCTTCCGCCCGTTGCTTTTTCTCTGCTTTCTTATTCCTCTTGTTTATCCTCTGACCCTTGCATTGCTGTCTGCTGTCCCTTTCCCCACCGGCTTCTGACTCTATAAGATGAAGAGCTGCATGGGGCAATCTCCGAGAGCTCACGAGCGCCAGATGTCTTATTATTATTATTAACTATTGCGGTCGTTATTGTTATTATAGCTGCTCGCTGGCCAACGGGAAGAAGAGGACCGCCGGATCATGCAGGCCATCGTCTTCCTGGGCGAGCGACGCCTGCTCGACGATCCCCCGGCCGCAACCTCGACGCCGACGTGACTGATGTGATGACGATGCACAAGTTTAATTTCAGAGAAAAGCTTCATCTCCGTCGCATCTCATCTCATCTCGATGCGAACCGACTACTCCGTACCCCGTTGACTACCTGGTTGACTATTAACTGCTTGGGCGTTCGATGGGCGCTGCCTTGTCTGTCAGGGGCCGCCGGCCGTACGACATATAGTGCGAGCCATGCTGGGTAGTATAGGATAATGCAGACTAGTGAG